GTTTTTTTTAAAAATATCTATAGAGAATTTCCACTAATAATTAAGCATGAAATGACAAACTTATATATTTTAAATATGATAGTGACTTTTCAAAAGATTGTTTTAAATAATTATTCAGCAATGCTTTGAATATATTGTTGTGTATTAAATATCACTGAAAAGAACTGTTTATATTTAAAATAGTTCATAAAAAGGGTTAGATGGGCATAGTTATTAAAAAGGAAAGTGTTTAACATGTATAAATGTAAAAAAAAAATAATAATAATAAATTTCTTATTTTGATTTGCTTTTTGGTATAAGTGACCTTTGTATGCCTTCAACAAAAGCTTCTCTATGCTGGCATTTCTGAACTAAGCCTCTGTTTTCGAACATCCCCTAAGGAGAGGCAGATCAATGGGAGTGGTTTAGAATTATTCCAAAAAAAGAATTCTAAATATTTAAATTCTTAAGACATACCAAAAACGCCCTTCCAACAAAGGAGATCACGACCAAATTTCTCTTCCGTATAATCCAGAATAAATCTTGAACTTTTCTTGAAAAACAATTCGTAATCAATGATACTATTTCATAGAATGTCTACGTAGTAAATACTATTTATTATGTACTAACAGATGTAACCTGACTTTGACTGGTTATAGAAAATAAAAGTTTGGGCAAATTTTATTAAGAAATAATATCTGTGCTAACTGACTGACTAACTGACTACTTGGGGCCTGAATAGCCGAGTGGCTGGCGCTCTTTACCACAAGTTTGGGGTTCGAGTCCCGGCGGTGCCATGGATGTTTGTAGTTATTACAGGTTTGAAATTTTAAATAACCCCCTTAAATATTATAAATTTACAAAATTAAGCTCATCTTCTTATCTAAGATTCCCTTTTATTTCATCTTTAACCTGTTAAAACTTATTTTAAGAAATAAAACAGTTTTAATTATAAAAATGTATTGTTAAATAATATTTTAATTATTAGTACCTTATATTTTTACAACTAATTAATTACAAGGAATTAATTAGTCAATCTTTAAAGTTTGCACCATTTGGTTGCGTGAAAATCTTATGGCAATAAAAAAAAGGTTTTTATTTAACTGAAACATAATTTTAAAAATAAATTACGTAATTAAGCGTAATTTTAGCATTTTTAGTGTTCATCATGCATGTTTAGCATGTTTAGTGTTGTAGCATTTTTAGTGTTCATCACGTGCAGTCCACTCGGCTGACTGTCGATTGACTCCGGTGTGAAATGATGGAGACATGTTTCATCCATTGTCACATATCGACGCAAAAAATTCGGGTTCATTACGATTGAACAGCTCCAAACAGTGCTTAGAATCATCCATTCGTTGTTGTTTTGGATCGATTGTGAGCTCGCGCGGCACCCACTTTGAACAGAGCTTTCGCATATCCAACGATATCAACCAATTCACATATCTCATTCACGATATGTCCAACACGCTCCTTTGATATCTTTAGGGTCTTAGCTATCTCCATCAACTGCACTTTGCGGTTATCAGAAATTATTTTGTGGATTTTTTTGATATTTTCTTCTATAACAGTCTCTTTAGGGCGTCCACTGCGTGCATTGTCCTGGGTGCTCCTTTTCACTTCGTTTAAATTTAGCAAACCCCTTCTCTAAGGTTGATTTTCTTGGTGCAAAGTCCGAATAATGCTTATCAAGACAAGCCTTGGCTTTAATAGTATTTTTTCGCCAAAAAGCAATGCTTTATTAACACACAAAATTCTTTTTATCCATTTTTTCAAACTAACAAAAGTTGCTTCCCTAAAAATGCTTTAACTCACACACTAATAGTGCAACAGCTTTAAAATTGATACATGTGTCTTTTGGAAGTTAGGGCTAACTAAATGTCATATGGATTTAATATTAGTAGCGCCATCTATGTGTCAGCCTACGAACGTTTCAACCCACCTGTTACTGTGAAACTACCGTAGCCATTCAATTTCGTTATTTTATGATTTGAATTTTAGACAATAACTGTATAATTCCCAACGGTTCAAATTTGAATTTCCCTCTTCAACTGTATTAGTTTGTGTAATCATTATTTTGTGATCACCCTTTTTCTAATTATTGATGTGTAATAAGCATTTAATTGTTGCCAATGGAAACAAAGTGGGCAGCTAATTGAACATCTCATTTGTAATGATTTCTACCCCCTTTAGGGTATACTAATAACTATTTACCTTAAACCCTAACAACTCTTAATAGCGACCCTGCACATAACATGATTTATTGTGAGGGAAATTCGCACGCTATCATTAATTAGCTGTAGGTGTAACACGTTGCACCTCCTCTTGTTTGAATTAGAGGCAATAATGAGTCCACCCAAGGCATTGTCAGTCACAGAATTACAAAATGGAATTGGAAATGAAGAATTATAATTTTACTATTTTTTTATTTCTGCTATAGGTTTTAAAGATATACGAGTAGTTGATAAAATAACATTATCGACACTATACATTTTAAAAACCTTAGTTTGGCTTAGTGAATGATTGTTTCGGAAATAAGATTTTAAATGCAATATTTTTAACTCTGTATAATCTATAATAAATAAAAAATGAAATAAAATGCGATATTAATAGAAGTGAAATATTAATTAGGAGTGATTTTATTCATAACAATTTTATAAATATTCTCGAATTTTGTTATGCAGTCTCAATATACCGATATACACTCAAGAGCCAAAACATTGTTACCACCCCTACATTTTGCAATGAACTCGCCTGGATGACGTGGAAGGTCGCATCAGGTGCTACAGGGTATCTGAACATCATTGCTGCACCAGTTGCACCCTTTCATGGCCTCTGTTTTCCAGCTGGAAATGGAATGTCGAAGGCCAACAGGACAACGCCCCTTGTCACAAGTCTTAAAATGTGTTGGGGTGATTCCAGGAACATGATGCTGAATTCCAGTTAATGTCCTCGGCCGCCCAACTCACCGGATCCCCATCCGATAGAACATTTTGGGATGTCCTGGGACGGCAACTTAGAGTTCAAAGACCATGAATTCGCAATATCTCGGATTTGCGTGACCGTTGCTTAAACATCTGGTACAATCTGTCTCCGGGCATCTACCAAGGACTTGTGGCATCCATGCCAAGGCGGGTTAGGCTATTGTTGCGCGCCAAAGGTGGCCCAACTCGTTATTGACAGTGTGGTCCCGTAGTTGTGTGTTGGCTCTTGAATGTATATAATTATATACATGACATTATATAATTCCACAAATTAAATTCAACAGTATTTCTACTGCAAAGAAATGTTCATTCAAGCTATTTATTCAATAGATTACAATTTATGAAATCATTTTCATTTTTAATTCAATTTTAATTTTTAAAATTTAAAATTATTGTACGTCTTATTAATATCTATATAATATAATGGTATATATATATATATATATATATATATATATATATATATATATATATATATATATATATATATATATATATAATATAAGTATATGATAGTAATATATACAAGTATAATTTGATAAATATACTATAAGTATATCTATTAATATATATTTTATTATCAAATTTTCTTAAATAAAAATAAATATGTAGACAAAAAAATGAAGTTAAAAATTAAAATCTGCAATGAATTTATAATGAACTTACTTTTGTTTACAGATATATATATTCTTCATCTATGCTTAGCTTTAAGAAGTGATATATTTTGATGAAATTGAAAATTAGTGGGTTATATATATATATATATATATATATATATATATATATAGCCCAGTAATTTTGAAAATTAGTGGTTAAAAGTTATATATATATATATATGTAACTTTTTAGTAATTTTTATTTTCTAATATTGTTTGTAGTTTGGTATATTTTTACGATATTCTATGATAAAAAAGGCTTTTTTATTTAATCACTTTATAAAGAAGCATTATTTATAAAGTTATATATTTTATAAAAATATAATGGAGCAGATAAATATTTTAAAACTTCTCATATTAGTATATGATACTACTGTTAACTTTCATTGACCTAAATAAAAATTTCGAAATTTATAACTGGTTTATATTACTATTTTGCAATAATTTATATTACAGGGGTTGTTTTTTCTTTTTGTAAACTAGTAACACTAACTAAGAAAATTTAACTTCTTACTGGTATTATTAAATTTAAAATCATCCATATTTTTGGCGATAACAAATTTTTCTTGGCAGGAACCACATTGAATAGTTCTTGAGTAATTCTTACCTCTCGATTAATTAACTTTGCATTTTTATCTAAATTTTAATTTCATTAATCTGATTGATGTCCAAAATCCCATTAAAAGACTGGATGAACAGATTTCCAATAATAAAGGCGAATTGCAGAAGATGTGGGATCTATATTGCTGGGCTTAAGGAAAACAAACATTACCGCATGATGAACATATTATTTACTTTGCTATCGAAGCTCTCATATCTTTTGGCCAGAAGCAATAGAGTGCGTCAAAAATCTTTGATAGAGAAAATATCTGGAAAAGACCAAATCATTTGGTGGAATTCCATTAATTGAATATTTTTTTCTCTATATAGTAAATCATTCCCAAGTGAATGAGCTTTTCCTAAGCAGATAATATAGATGTTCAACTTATTTTACTTCATGCAATCTTTCACACACATACTTCAAGAACTTTGGCCCCACTCGTATTTATAGGTTGGTCTGCTAATCTGAAAGAATTTCTGGATCAAACTGGATCCTAAGCTCATAGAACTAGATTCTTGAGGAATTATTATTAAAAATATTATTAAATTAGAGGACTGATGCTTTTTGAAAGGCTTAGCCTTAGCCCTCTCTACATAAAATACAAAGCTCTTAAAATTTAATATACTGCATCAAAAATCATTTTAATTGAAACAATTGTTTAAATAGAAAATTAAAACGACCTATAAAGAAAAAAAAAAAAAAACGGCATATATTTAATAATATAAAAGTAAACTTAAATAATCTACAATCTTAATTTTCTTCACCTTTTTTCTTCAGCCAACAGCCATGCCATGCTGAATATACCGGTTCTCGTTAGATCACCGAACAGTCAAGCATCATTGTTGGCGCGGTCAGTACTTTCCAGGGTGGGTGACCACCTGGGAGCCACACCGCGTGCCGTTGGCATTCACAAATTTGGGACCTGAATGGCCGAGTGTCTGCAAGCGCTCTGTCGCGCTCGGTGCCAATAGCAGGTTTCAGGTTCGACAAGTCCTGGCGGTGCCATGGATATTTGTAGTGGTTCGGAATCCACTTTAAGCCGTAGGTGAGATGTTATGCCCGGTCTCCCATGACTGTAAGAGCGTCACGGAGCCACGGTCAGACTTCTACCCACGGGTGCTCCATTACAACAGAAGCTGCTTCCTTCCCCTTCAATCATGAGTTCGTATGGGCTTTAATAATATGGCCAGCTAAGTGGAATATACCGAAACAACAACAGCAACAACACATTTTTCACAAATTTGGGACTTCAAAATTATGAAATGACAATGTTAAATTAATGGCTGCCCTATAATTGTTAATTTCTGTATTTTTAATAAAACAGCAATTTTTAATAACTAGGAACTCGCTGTTGATAGCAAAAAATTTTCGTAGTTTTTAATTTTAATCGAAACTCACTACGATTAGAATAAATACTGTTATACTTGGAACAAAGATATCAAGGCTTATTTTTAATAAATTTAACAATTTCAAAAGGGTTTTTTTTTCAAGTTTCGGTACGATCTTGCATAGCAAAAATTTTTTTAATCGAAAGTTTACGAGAAATCCTCGTGCACCGCAAATATAACACGAAGCTTACAGAAGTAAATAGTAAACCAATCAATGATAAAATAATACAATCATCAAATAAATGGTACATTTAAAAGTACACATGACATTACAACAGAGAAATAAAATAAAATAGAGGTGAATAAGGAATTTAAGAAACATCAATATAACACTTAACAAAATTAAAAATACTGAAAAGATGCTTCTTATTAACAAAACGTCGACTTTTGGTGACCATTTGACTTTCTAGAATGACAGTTCTTTCCTTTAAAATTGTTTTAAGATGTTCAAGTCTGGAGTAACTAAAAACAATGTGATTGATATTCTGTACTCTACATACATTGCAGTTGCAAAGATCAGTTGAACGTAGTTTAAGTCTGTAAGCCTGACATGTCCAGTAGCGGCAATTTAAAAAGATTGTTTCTTGATTTCACCAAAAAGATTGCCGACAATAAGATCTTTAAAGGATTGCTTTTTTTTTTTTTGTCCAAAGTTTTATTTTCCTTATAAATGCTTTCATCTTATAGCTGAGACAAGTATATACCATCCAAGTGAATTCTTTATTCTAATTCTCTTTAATTCTAATTCATTAGGTAATTCTAGACATCATTTTTTTCTATTTCATGATATATTTTCTTACTGTGTGTTTATAAAAAATTAATTAGATTTAAATAGAAAAGTTCATAGTTTGATTTCAATAAATATCAGAGTAAAAAAAAAAATTCAAATTCAATTCAATTCAAAAGATCAGAGTAAATAAAATTAATTTATATCTAAGAAAAATATACAAAAAAAAATAACAGAAATAATTGTATTTTGATATAAAAAGGCAAGAAATGTAATCCGATGTATTTTTAGAACATCAGAGAGCGTCATGTTCCTCTTATGTAAACCACATTCGCGCTACCGATGGGCCAGAAGGGAAAGACATTACTTTTCAGTGGAATTTTCAGGTGTAACAACTTCTTATTTGGTACGGTGTGGAGAAAATCCCAAAAAACTTTTACCAAGCAGCTTAAATATCGATGTGAGAAGCTATAAACACGCTGTTAATATGGAACACGCTGTTTTTACCTTTATGGCCTTTGTATCTTACCTTTAAGAAAATGCGAGTTTTTTAGAAGAATTTCTCAATTGTTCTTTTTTTTTATTATTTCGAAAGGACACTGTAATCGAGGCATTAGGATTTTTATAGATTCAATGAAATAAAATAATCGTGGATTATTTTTATATTATTTTTAGAACAAACTATTCCAGTAAACTAAACATTGCGAGTGCATAGTTTTGCCCTGATTATGAAAGTTTATAGTACGAAAAATTTATAATTAAAAACATGTTTGTTTGAATACATTGCAATTACTGTTACAACGTTTTTAATAATACCACTTACTTCAGTGGATTTCAACGCGTGTACCCCCATCAGCGATAACTCGAATGTCAAAGCAGTTCTCACCATATGTTCTCCATCATTCTGAAAGAAAAATCAAGAGGAGAAATAACGTGAAGCCATGATGTTGGTCCATCCCTTCTAATCCATAGGCTCGGGAAATTTCTTTTCTAGGAACTCACTAACTTTGGGACCCCAATGAAGAGATGCGCCATCTTGAAGATAAATAATCTATGGTTATACTAATACCTGTTAGAGGCAATGAAAAATTTCAATAAGTCTAGGTAAACATTGACTAGGATGCTGTTCTCCATGAAGTGAAAAGGCCCAATAGCCTTGTTATTAAGTATTGCAATAGCGGTATACCGAATACCGGTATTTTGAGCCATTTGTACAACTTTTGTAATACCGGTATTCACAAGTTTAAATACCGTTTTTTCGGTATTTACTAGAAATTTAGAATTCTTATCTGTAAAATTCTTATTATCTGTAAAATTCTTATTCTTATTTGTGAATTCTTATTCAGAATTCATATCTGAAAACTAGAAATTCTTATCCGTGAAAACAAGGTTGTAGTTGTGAAGAAAGTGTGTAATATTTCGATAGTCTTTAAATTGATGAGTTTGTTATTCACATTGTATTTGCATCTCATACTTTAGAGTTCAAAATATTTTTCAGATTTATTATATATATATATATATATATGCTCATAAATAATACCCAATAATACTTCGGTTTATGTTTTTAAACTCACATTTCAAAATTTGCAAAAGTACCACAGACTGAATAGTAAAGTACACTGACTTTTTTTGTGATTTAAATAAATAAGATGTTCATTTACTTTTTGTGATTCTTTATATACTGTTATAATTAATTCGTTACAAACGTTACAATATGCTTTTCTAAAATTTCTACTACCGGTATTAAAACCGTTATCCCGGTATTAAGATCTAAAAAATACCGAATACCGGTATTGAACTTTTGGTCCGATATTGCAATCCCTACTTGTTACGCATGAGGCCGCACCAAATAGATCTGTCTGTGAGCATGTCCAAATAGAGGAGGCATCTGTGCAGAGACATGTGGGTTTTTCTGATCTTCAGATACGGATATTATGGTTTTCCGCAGACGTGAAGGGTTGATTCATAAGAAAAATCGTAGATAATCATCTTCAACCTCAATTCCCTTCAGATCTATTGCACAAAATACATGTTCAATTGACCTATCCAATGACACAAAAGCTACATTATTACATCAACGGTTATTTGTTATGATTTCTTTACAGCCAGGACCGGACTTTGTGCTCACTCTGCATACTCATATTCAGATTTGACCATCCAAGTTTCCAATTTTGCAAAACAAATAATCCTCTTTGCTGGAGGTATTCTAAAACAACATTTTTTCTGAAATAATGCGCATGGAAAAACCCCTAAATTCTGTTTTATACTATTATCCATGAAACTTTGTCGAAAATGTTGTATACTTTTCAACCCACCCTTGTTTTTCTGAGGTCGTAAAATTCCCTGACTTTAAAACAGGAGTGCACCAAGAGCATTCTAACACCAATGTTCTAAAATTAAACAAACACACTTTTGTTCTAATTCTAATATTTAAGTCCCCTATTAATCTACAACTCTAATTGGTCTTCTGCAGTTATCGTCTACTGCTGTAATACATTTTAAAAGGTATAAAAAAAAGAAGAAAAGTTCCAAAACAATAAGCCTTATGTGTGCGTTTTTTAAACAATCATGCGCTGTAACTCGGGAATGGAAGAAAAGAAAACATAAAAATATTTCTAGTTAGAAAGGAAAGAAAGGCCATAAAGAATTTTTTCTCGTTGTCATATATGTGTTTTCGTTGTCATATATGTGTGCTATTTTAAGCAGCGCATGTTCGTTTGAAAAGGGGATTAGCAACAACGGAGCCATCAATTATCTTTTTCACGTCTTTATCTATTAATTTTTCTCACATAAAGACTGTAATTACATGAAATACCAATAAAATTAAAAACATTGGGTGCAAATTTATATTTCATCGTCGTATTTATAACCATTTATATAAATTCAGTTTGTCCAAATTTTTTGCTTATTCGAGCTTGATTTTAATTAACTTGGATTACCCGGATTACCAGATTAATATATACTAATGAACAAACATTTTAAGGCACGACTATCAAGAAAGTCGATAAATAAAGAGTTTTAATTAATCACGTTCGTTTATGCTAGGTTGATACAAATACTTAAACACTTCTTTAGTTATTGCAATACAAATACCAATTGGGCTGTTAGTGTAGTGTGCAGCCTACCCATGCTCAATATGAAAAAAAAAATCTTCAGAAGATACCGATTTATACAAAAAGGTGAAGTGAATTAATGGTATCTTTGAAAGTGACCCGAATAGATAAAGTAAACGAAACCAAATGTAAGCAACACAAATATCTTCTTTCGCCAAGGGGAGACGCAAAGAGTTCCATCAAGTACTCCAAGATGCTATCTGTCGAGTCTCGAGGCATTTTATCATGGAAGAAAAACAAACTGCAGAACAACCCCTAGTGCTGATATCTTTCGAGAAATACTCAAAAGAACAAACACTCTTCCATAGAAAATAAAAACTATAGAAAAAAATTCTTAACTTATGCTATTTTCATTTAATCAGATATCGTTGCTTCTAATGAAACAGCTTATTAATAATTTATTATTTCTTTAGCATTATTTGAAGTTTTGCGTGGTGCTAACGAATGAACAAAATTACTTGTTCAAATCACCCAAAATAAAAGAAAAGAAGAAAATTTTATAAAAATAAGTCCTCAAATCTGTATGAAAACAAAAAAGAAATGTATAATGAATCATTAAAACACATCTAGAGGAATGGAAGGGATCGTTTTGATTCTGGATAGCATGCTATAAAAACTACGCAAACTGACATAACATTTGCATAACTAATCTAAGGAAA